TTCCCCTGTCAGCCTGGTGCTGCCCTTTACTGCCCTGATGTGTATATGATTAAAGAGTTATTTTTAAAATTTGTATGATTTTTTTCATACATTCATAGGTGTTGATTGGAGTTTGGCTCTTCAGGTGATCTTTTCTCCAGACTCCTAGCAATTGCTTCGAAAAAAGAAAATTTTATCCTTGAAGCTTTAGGTTGTGGATTCGATTTCTGGTCAGAGATATATGTCCACAACAGTTCTGTCTAGAACCTCACTTCCTGGGCAACCTCATTCATCTCATCATTTTAAAGATCATCTATATATTGAAAAATTTTAAATTGATATTTTCTACCTAGACTTCTCATGAATTTCATACTTACATATTTAATGTCATTTATGTGTCTGATATCTCAAACTCAAGATGTCTATACCTGAAATCCTGATTCCTACTCATTTTTCATATGAATGCTCCTTTCCCTTTTTCCTCCCCTGGTTCATGTGAGAAAATGGCCACTTCATTCTTCTAGTTCATACATATTTTCTCTAAGTCCATTCAGTTCTTTATTGGTTGTCTGGGCCCTATAGCTGCCCTTCAGCTTAGGTCTTCCTGAGCTGCACACAAAGACCTATCACCTACTGGGACCAAGAAGGTAACACAGAGGTGGTGGTCCTTGTCCCAGTATACACACCTCACCCTTTGGGGCTTATGTTCTAAGACTTCTAGGAGTACAAACCTACATCTTCAAGATTTATAGCTCATTATTCTCCCCTTGACTAGCATGAACTTCAAACGCATTTGCAGTGTTCTTAGATTCCAGCATTTGCCCTGAAAGCTCTTCTGTTTTTGTTTCTCTCTAGTGGGCCTATGACTGCCCCCTTTTCCCCTCCAGGGCCCGGGGTTTCTCCATTTCCTTGTCTGGATTATTCCAACAGCCTCCTTAACTAAATGTTTATGAAGTCTTGTTTTTTTAATCCTCACCCAAGGAGTGCACATATTTTTTCCATTGATTCTTAGAGAGAGGAGGGGAAGATTCAGGTGGGATGAAGAGAGAAAGAAATCATTGTGAGAGAAATACATTGATTGGTTGCCTCATCCATTTGCCCCCACTGAGGGCAGGGATCAGGGAACGAACCTGCAACTCAAGCACTTGCCCTTGACCTGGGATTGAACCCATGAGCATCTGGTGCTCAGGCAGACACTCTAACCAGTGAGCCATGCTGACCAGGGCTCTGAAATCTATTTTCTTTTTCTTCTGAAGTTTATTTTCAACAGCAACCAATGTGATTTTTTTTTTTTTTTTTTTTTTTTGGAGGGTGGGAGGGGGATAGATAGAGAAACATCGACATGAGAGAGACATCAATTGGTTGCCTCCTGCACTTGCTCCATCCGGGCCCAGGCCAGGGAGGAACTTGCAACTGAGGTACATGCTCTTGACTGGAATTGAACCCAGGACCCTTCAGTGGCAGGCTGCTCTATCCACTGAGCCAAACCGGCTAGGGCCTAATGTGATCTTGTAAAAATATTTCCCATGTAATTTTTCTGCTTACACCTCTGCATACAAGGGCTCCCATCTCAGAGTTAAAAGCCAAAATCCTTTCAGTGATCTCTTAGACCTCTACCACTTATCCCTTCTCCTACCCTTTTCTAGCCACACTGGCCTTCTTGTTTTTTCTCTAATATGTCAAGACATTCTTATTTTAGTGCCTCTGCACTTGCTGTTCTTTCTGCCCTCCCCCCATATCTGCTTTGTTATCTTGTTCTCAATGTTCATATTTACAAGGAGAAAATTATGAGGTAACCTAAATTAAACTCCAGGAGGCCAGAGGTGGAAGGAAGAGACAGAGGTTAAGCAGTTAACATCAGTAGTGCAAAACTAACAAAAGACTGCTTGCACTCAGTGTATTTGGGACTTATTAACTTCCAGATGACTATTTCCAGATTATCTAAAAAGAGAGAACAGTTAGTTTGACCAATTTCTTACCTTCCCCTCCCCATTTTTGAACCCTAGGAGTGTCTGCTGCTTGTTTACACATGAGTTTTACAGATTCTTATGGACTGCTGCTCCTATCCCAGCTTCACCTCCCATACATATCCTCCTTAAATAACGTAAATTATTTAAGAAGGATATGTATGCTACTCCCCCTACTTCATGTACTGTATAATGCTTGCATACCTGGCCATTGTGGGTCAGTTGATTGGAGTGTTGTCCCATACACTGAAAGGTTTTGGATTTGATTTCCAGTCACGGTACATACCTAGGTTGCAGGTTTCATGCCTGGTCGGGTGCCTATGGGAAGGCAACTGATTGATGTTTCTCTCACATCGATGTTTTTCTCTTTCTCCCTCTCTCTCTAAAATTAATAAGCATGTCCTCAGGTAAGGATTAAAAAAAAAAAAAAAAGCTTGCAAAACCCAAGGACATTAGACATGTTTTTCTTACATGTTGTTGGTGGTTAGGCTCACACCCCAAGAATTAGTCTTCTTTTTTGTAGCAATGGCCTAATCAACCTTTTATTTTAAAGACTTTCAGTTGTGAAAGTTAAAATATTTAACAAGAGCAAGTGTCCCTTTCTGACTCACTAAACCACCATTCCTATGCCCAACAGGATCACCCATTCTATACCCTCTGCCTCTCTTTACCTGCTTCATACTTCTTAGAACTCCTTACTACCCCCTGATACATATTTGCTTGTGGTATTCTGACATTAAGCCCCAGAGGGAAGGAATTTTTGTATGTTTTGCTGTTACTCTCTAACATCTAGAATTGTTCCTTCCACATGTTCAACAACCTTTTGTTGAATTAATGAATACTAGATATGAGTTTGACAAAATAGGTTCCCTGCATCAAGAAACCTAAGTCTACTAGGGAGACATAAAATAATTAAAATATAATAATTGCATTTGTTCAGTAGGACACAGAAGCCTCCAAATCTGCTCAGAGGACTTAACATGGCAGATGAGATAGAATGGTTAATCTAGGTGGTGCTAATCAATGTACTAGTTATCCAAGGCTCCTGTAAATTATAATGTACTATGCAATTGTGAGGTTGTCTTAACTGACCAAGGTGAGATAAGTTAACCTTTCCTGGTCTTGAAAATTTTACAGGGAGCCTGGCCCGCGTGGCTCAATGGTTGAGCATAGATCTATATAACCAGAAGGTCACAGCTCGCCCTGACCAGTTTTGCTCAGTGGATAGAGTGTTGGCCTGCAGACTGAAGAGTCCCAGCTTCAATTCCAGTCAAGGGCATGTACCTTGGTTGCAGGCACATCCCCAATAGGGAGTGTGCAGGAGGCAACTGAATCGATATTTCTCTCCCATCGATGTTTCTAATTTCCTATCCTTCTCTTCCCTTCCTCTCTGTAAAAAAATCTATATATATATATATATATATATATATATATATATATATATTTTTTTTTTTATTTATTTATTTATTTATTTTTTTTTAAAGGTCACAGCTCATTCCTGGTGAACATGCCTGGGTTGCCAACTCCATCCCCACTGTGGGACATGCAGGAAGGAGCCGATCATGATTCTCTTTCATCATTGATGTTTTTTTCTCTCTCCTCTCTGAAATCAAGTTTTAAAGAAAATCCTCACCAGAGGGTGATTTTTCAGAGAGGGGGAAGATTGAGGGAAAGTCAAATATCATGTCAATTGGTTGCCTCCTGTAGGGACCGTGACCAGGACCCCTGTGGGGGATAGGTCTGCAACCAGGGTCCATGCCCTTGACACCAATGCAACAGGGGACCCTCTATCCACTGAGCCAAACGGGCTAGGGCTGAAATCAATTTAAAAAAAAATTTTTTACCAGAAAATTTTCATTTACTTCACTTATTTCCTCTTCCTATAATTCATATAGTCAAATGGCTTTGAAGGTATCGTCCAAGGGAAATGTAAAAGATTGCTTGGTCTGGGAGTCTGCCTATAGAATGGCTCGCTGGAGCTGGCGCATGCGCATCGTTAAGGCACTGCAAGATGGCTGCCAGCCACTTTGGGGAGCGTCAGTTCCCTGAGGAGTTAGTGCCCCCGCGGCTGCAGCCGCCAGAAAGTAACAGTGGCCGCCAAGTGGTGGGCGTTTCCGGCCCTGTTTTGTGAGCCGGGTAGCCTCGAGAGAACGAGATCTCACTAAAGAGGAAAAGGCAGGGCGAGGTGCGGCGGGGAAGCCCCCTCCCCCAACCTCCCGGTTAGACCAACTCGCTACTCCCCTCCCCGTTTTATCCTCCCAGCCCGCTACACGCCGGGGTGCTGCGCACGCGCAGAAGTAATAGACGCGCCTCCGCGGCGCTACGGTCCTGCGAGCTCCTGCGCGCGCTTCTCGTGCTCCCGCCTTGATTGGTCAGATTGCCCCGCCATCACGGCCTCCCTCTGCTTTCTAGGCTGAGAAGGAAGAGAGGGGGCGGGACCCAGCGGGCGCGTGAGCGTGCGCGTGCGCGATACTGTTGCCGTCCCTTGGCTATTGCGTTGCAAAAAAAAAAAATCCTGACTAGCCATCCTGGGGCCTTTTCTGTCCTAGAGGACCTAAAGGAGAAAGATTTCTGCTACCGAAGGGGCAGTCGGGTAGTATTACATTCCAGATATCCACGCCCGCCCTCGTAGGAGTGAGGGACAGGAGTGGGGAAGGGCCTTAGCGCAGGGAGCCGGAGTGTAACACCATTGATTGGGGCGGGGGGGGGGGGTGTGCTGGCGTTTGGAAAGGCTTTGCAGGACCTGTTTTTCTGCGTAATCCTCCCTTGGTTACTGACTGGTTTACACACAAGCCCTTGAGCAATTCTGATAAACCTCGAAACCCACAGCCCCTCCGTGAAGCGTGTCGGAGCCACCGGCGTGCCCACCACCACCAGCAGCAGCTGGGCCGCCCGTCCTGCCTCCCGAGGAGCCCGGCGCGTGCACCCTCCCCTCCCCTGCGCCCTCCCCGCCCGCGGCTTCACGCACTCTCCGTGATTGTTTTGCTCGCTCCCGCCGCCGCCGCCGCCGCCGTCGCCGCCAGAGGAGCAGCAGCGCTTGTGCAAACCGGGAAGATGGCGGCCGGCGGCGGCGGAGGCAGCAGTAAGGCCTCCTCCTCGTCGGCCTCCTCGGCAGGGGCCCTGGAGTCCTCGTTGGATCGAAAGTTCCAGTCGGTCACCAACACCATGGAATCCATTCAAGGCCTGTCGTCTTGGTGTATAGAGAACAAGAAGCACCACGCCACCATCGTCTACCACTGGATGAAGTGGCTCCGGAGATGTGAGTGCCGGGGGGTTGCCTAAGGCTAAGGGGGAAGGGGAGACCGGGGAAATGGAAGGAAATCCTCGCGTGCCTCGCTTGGGCTTTTCCCATGGAGCCGCTGCATGGGGTTGCGCTGCTCACAGGTAAAGATTTTTGACCTGAGTGTTCCCAAACCCAGACTCCATTCCCAGCCAGGGTGGTTTCCTTTTTTTGTGGGTTTTTTTTTTTTTTTTGCCCCTCCTTCCCCCCCCAATTGCAGAAGGCTTCGCATTTTCCGGCTATTTCCGCCGCTGCCTTGGCGTGACCTTGGGCCGTTGGCCCCCGATCTGTGGATGGGGATGTGTGCATGCTATCATTTCCGAGCCCCGTACGGTTTTGTGGACTTGGCTGGACCTTGACGGAAATTGTCGCGTCCGTTTGTTCCTTAGGAGAGGCCTTGCCGTGGGAAGGATTGCTGGTTTTCCTGAAGATAGACGGGCTCGGGTGTTTAAGCAGTTAGTGAATCCACCTATGTCGCTGGAATAGGTTGGGTCACGCTGTTCATAACTGATCTAAACTTGCCGTGGGGAACAAGCGGGGCCTCATCTGGGTGAATGGGAAGTAACGTGAGTTCCACTTGGAGCTGAAAGCGACTTACCTGGGAGGTTTCCCCGTGTTTGCTGCAGGGCTTCTGGGTCCTGGTCGGAAACTACTGTCGTCAGGATGGTCAATGCTTTAAAATCACTTGGGGGAAAAAACAAAAAAAATTTTTTTTTAAAGGAATTGAGTTTGGTTTCATGAGTAATAAAACAGGAAATCAGGGAAATGTGCTTTTTGGACATGTAGTAGTATTTCACCACTCCCCTGGTTATTATTATTTTTATTTTTTGTCTTCATTGGGGAGTTTTTCCGCTTTGCTGCTTTTACTACAGAAAAGGGGTCTAGTATACTGTCAGGAAGCATGGATTGTTTGCAGAAGGTGTCACGTCTTTGAGGAGGAAGTGTGGAGAAGTCGCTGTTGCTTCCTGCTAAGGAGAGATGGTCCATCCTAAGTCCACCTGTGTTTGAATTTTAGATCTTTGTTGCTTCCTGTCCATAGCTTGTCACCCAGGGATACTCATCGTTCAGTTATTCTTATTCCACTTCAGCCATTGCTTATGTGGTGTTTTGATTTGGGTTTACCTTATAGGGAGCAGATGGATGCAAAATCATAGGCCCAAGCTTAAAATAATTTGTATATGTGAAGTTATTGTTGGGAGAGATGTTTTGTGGCTCTTTAAATAATATATGCTGAAAGGGTTGTAGAACCAAGATGGGGATTATCTGAATTTATCAGTAGCAGATTGAAGTTATTTTATATATTTATCAATAGCAGATGGAAGTCTGCTTTCTTCTGAAGAGGAAAAATTAGAACATATAAAATCAAATATAAGTTAATCAAAGACCCTCTCATATTAAATAACTGCTATGTGCCTAGCCCTCATCATTAATAGTATATCTCATTACACCTTAAGACACCCTAAGAAATAGATTTTTTAGTCATTGAGTTACAGGTGGGGATACTAGGCTCAGGAATGCTAAGTAAGTTGCTTAAGTTTACACAATAAAATAATGGAGTTAGGATTTGACTACCATATCAGTTGACAATGACCACATTTAACTTTGTAAAATGTTTTCAAGATTATTCTTTAATGTACTTGGTATACCAGTGGTAGCAGGCAGTGCTCACGCGAGCTGAGGACTTCTTTTTCTTAAACATGTTTTTCGTGTTTTAAAACATTTTTACTAAATTATGGAAGTATTTAGCATTTTCTGTCTTTGGGCTCTGGAGCTTTTAACTGTATGGTTACATCATTTGCAAGAATAAATTGGTTTTCATCCCTGCCTTGTGGGATTACAGATGACAATTACAATATTTTTTTTAGGCAGCAATACTAGAACCAGAATTTTTCTGCCTCCGCTGTTGTTGATACTGTGTCTGGGTTTATAACTTTTGTTAATATCTTTTTTTTTTTTTAAATATATTTTTATTGATTTTTCACAGAGAGGAAGAGAGAGGGATAGAGAGCTAGAAATGTCGATGAGAGAGAATCATCGACCGGCTGCCTCTTGCACACTCCCTACTGGGGATGTGCCTGCAACCAAGGTACATGCCCTTGACCGGAATCGAACCTGGGACCTTTCAGTCCCCGCAGACCGACGCTCTACCACTGAGCCAAACCGGTGCCGGCAATAACTTTTGTTAATATCTTAAGAAGGGAAAAAATGATAGCTCTAGGACAGGGGTGGGGAATGTGTGGCCCATGGACCCTAGAAAGCCCTGGAAATCATTTGGTCTGCCCCTGCCAAGGCACTAGGGGCGAGTTAAACATTTTACCAAATATAGCAGGTTAATTTTTAAGTTGATAATTTTGCCTGGCCCGCAAATGATGTTATAAATATCCAAATAGCCCTTGGCGGAAAAAAAGGTTCCCCACCCCTGCTCTAGGAAGACTACTTATTTGAAATGCATAATACATAGTTTATTTAGTGAAACGCTTTTGGCTCTGTAAAACCCTGATTTTTGTTCCCTTGGCCTAGTGGAATGTAACTTAACTTTCTAAAATAGTTAAGAGGAATTTGTAGTAGTTTTGCATTTACAGTTGACCTTTGAACAACTCACAGGTTAGGGATGCCAACCCCTGAGAAGTCAGAAATCTGTGTATAACTTTTGACTCTCCCAAAACTTAATTACTAAGAGTCTATCCTTGACTGGAAGCCTTACTGATTACATAAACAGTCGATTAACACATATTTTGTGTGTTATATGTACTAGTGTTACATACTGTATACTGACACGAAAAATGAGGTTCAGTACATAAGCTACTTTCACTGTGCCCTTCACCACTCTCCTGTCTCCCCTTAAACTCTAGTAAGGAGAGGCAATAAATAAAATATTAAATATATTAGGAGGTGAGGATATTAGAAGTGCTGCAGAGAATATAAAATATAAAGCAAGGAAGGGGGATACAGAGTGTTAAGGAAGTTGGCAGTCTTAAATTGGATGGTAAGGGAAGGCCTCACTGAGGAGAGATGTTTGAGCAAAAAGGAAAGGTATTAACCAATAAAGATACCAGGAGGTGAGAGAAAGAGTGTTTCAAGATAAAGAGGACAGAAAAATACAAAGGTCTTGAGGTTGGAGTGTGCCTGCTAAGCTTAAGGAACAGCAAGAACGCTTTTGTGGCTGGAAAGTATTTAAAATGAGGATTAACAGATGAACTCAGAAATTATGGTGAGTGATGGTGAAGGGAGAGGCAGATCTCAAAGAGCTGTATAGACATTGTAAGGAGGTTTGGCTTTTATTCTGAGTGAAATAGGGAGCCATTTGAGCAGAGGAGTGATGTGAACTGATTTGTGTTTTTAAAAGGTCATTGGTTGCTGCAGAAACATGTATATCAATTAGGCTTTCATAGTAATCCTGGGGTCAGATGGTGGTTTAGACCAGGTTGTGGCCAGACGAATTGATATGCAGTAATTAAATTCTACATCTCTTCTTTATTTAATACTTTTTATTGATTTCAGAGAGGAAGGGAAAAGGGGGGGGAGAGAGAAACATCAATGATGAGAAAGAATCATTGATCGGCTGCCTCCTGCACTGCACACCCCACACTGAGCATCAAGCCCACGAGCCTGTAACGCAGGGAGTATGTCCGGGAATGGAACAGTGACCTCCTGGTTCATAGGTAGATGGTCCACCATCCATCACCAAGCCACACCAGCCGCGCTAATTCTAGATCTCTTTTGACGGTAGATCGAACTGGATTTCTAGAAGGATTAAATATGGTAAGAGAGGAGAGTCATAAAAAATGACTTTTTTTGCCTGAGGTGTGCAACAGTCACCACAGGACAGGGTGTTAGTGTGACTTTAGAGCCACCAGGCTGGAAGAGATCTACGTCTAGCGCCACTTAATGGGGATGCAGTCTGAGAAATGCACCGTTAGGTAATTTATCATTGCTCGGACATTGAGTTCATTTACACATACCAAGATGGTATATATCGCCTACTACACACCTAGACTACATGATAGAGCCCATTGCTCTTAGGTTACAATCCCATACAGCATGGTACTGTGCTGAATACTGTACGCGACTGTAACAGGTATTTGTGTATCTAAACATAGAAAAGGTACTAAAATACGGTATAAAATGGTCCACCTATATAGTGCGCTTAGTATGAATGGAACTTGTAGGACTGGAAGTTGAGTGAATGAGTACACTACTGTACAGTAAGGCTACACTGAACACTGTACTCTTAGGCTACACTAAATCTATAAAACAACACAAGATTAAATCAAGCACAAGAGAATGATGCAATCAAGAGAGTGGCAAACACCAGATCTGTGAGTCTACTGCTGGCACAACCAGGCCTAACGTTTTACAGCAAACTTTTTTTAATAAGTAGAAAGAGTGTACTCGAATGATAAAAGCGTAGTATACATACACCAGTAATAAGGTTGTTTCTTACCATTTTTAAGTATTATGTACTATATATAATTATATGTGCTATACTTTTATACAACCGCCAGCAATGCAAGAGATTTGTTTATACCAGCATCACCACAAAACAGGAATGAGGAATAGTAGCACTATGTCGTGATGGAGACATCTCTAGGCGATGGGAAATTTTCAGCTCTTTTATAATCTTCTGGGGCCACATGTATGTGGCAGGTTGCTGTTGACTGAAATGTTGTTATGTGACCAGGACTGCACTAGGGATTAAGTGTGGATAGAGAAGTAGGTGTAATAAGAAAGAATAATAAGGGTAGGTATAGAAAAAGTTGAGAGAAGGCTCTGGGGCATTCTCGTATTTTAGATACGTCTGTCTATTTGATCTGATGTGGACTTGGCTTAGGTTCTTTTTTAAAATATATTTTATTGATTTTTTACAGAGAGGAAGGGAGAGAGATAGAGAGCTAGAAACGTTGATGAGAGAAACGTCAACCAGCTGCCTCTTGCACACCCCCTAACGGGGATGTGCCCGAAACCAACGTACATGCCCC